GGTGTTAGTTACCACCTTTAAAGCGCTCCATGGCACAGGACCTGGTTATCTCCGAGACCGCCTTCTGCCACAGATTCCCTCCCATAGACCGGTACGCTCCCACAGAGTGGGTCTCCTCAGGGTGCCGTCGGCCAAGCAGTGTCGGCTGGCGACCCCCAGGGGGAGGGCCTTCTCTGTGGGTGCCCCCGCCCTCTGGAACAATCTACCCCCCGAGATCCGGATGATTCCGGATCTCCTTACTTTCCGCCGCGCCCTCAAGACATGGCTTTTCCAACAAGCAGGCCTGGCCTAGGGAGGATTTTAAATCGGGTTCATTTTTTAGAAAATTTTAAACAGCACAACTCTAAAATATTTGGTTTTAATTGGTTTTATTTGGTGGGGCTTGTAAATGTTCCTATGTTTCTGTTTTTAAATATGTTGTGAGCCGCCCTGAGTCCCGTTGGGAGAAGGGCGGGATATAAATCAAAATAAAGTAAAGTAAAGTAAGGTTAGGGATTATACTGACAGAAACCATATCCTTTTCTATGGAAACTGGTTCTGGGCTTATCCTCAAATGAAAGAAACCCAGACCTAGAACTGCATTTCATATAATTCAATAGGATAATAGTACATTCTGCATTTGTACCATCTGGGTCATTTACCCTTTCGGCTACAAATCGCACGGACTGCACGCTGGTCCCATAGAGATTGTCGTTATACTGGCCGGCTTCGATGAATTTGTGCTCTTGAATGTCTTTTTCCATTTGTTCTCTGGAGATGACAAAGTGGTAATCTCGACCGTCCACTTCATAATCGCGCTTCGGTCGGGTGGTATCTTGAGGGGGTAACAAAAAACGAGAGAGGTTTTGCCAAGTGAATAAATTACCTGTGCAATTTATTTTGTCAGAAATACAGAATAACAGAATTGGAAGGGACCTTGGAGGTCTTCTAGTCCAACCGCCTGCTCAAACAGGAGACTCTCAGGGGTAGGCAACCTTGGCTCTTTTATGACTCGTGGACTTCAACTCCCAGAATTCCTGAGCCAGCATGGCTCAGCTTAGAAACCTCTCCCTTTCCCCTCAGCATGGCTGGCTCAGGAATTCTGGGAGTTGAAGTCCATGAGTCATAAAAGAGCCAAGGTTGCCTACCCCTGCTCTATACCCTTTCAGACAAATGGGTGTCCAATCTCTTCTTAAAAACCTCCAGTGTTGGAACACCCACAACTTCTGGAGGCAAAGCCATTCCACTGATTCATTCTTCAGGAAGTTTCTCCTTGGCTCTAGGTTGCTTCTCTCTTTGATTAGTTTCCATCCATTGCTAATTTTATAAGAGTTTCAGAGAGAGGACAATGTGACATCCCCCAAACCAAGAAAGCTGAGTTCCTTCTAAACAGTTTCCTTTATTGTTCATCACTTGTAGACAGCATCTTGCCAAACTAAAGCAATGGCTGGCATTATTAAAGACATACAGGCAATCGACGACTCATGACCCTCTTCTACCGGTCTACTATTTAAAGCAGGGGTGTCAAACTCAATTTCATTGAGGGCCACATCAGCATTGTGGTTGCCCTTGGGGGGGCTGGGTGGGTGTGGCCAAGATGGGTGCAGCCTACTGGGTGGGTGTGGATGGAGTGGGTGTGGCCTACTGGGTGGGCATGGCCAGCTCTACATTGTTCGCGTCAAGGGAGCCTGTGGGGGCCTGGGCAGGAGTGGGACAGATCTGAGGGTCTCTGGCAGAAGGGGGTGGGACCGGGGCAAGCGCCAAGGCATGGTCCATTTCTTCATTCCTCACAAAGGGTGACACCTCCCCAGCATGCACCTAGGGGGCAGGGCCGACGCGGCAGGGGCTGGTCCCTTGCTGTTTCTAGACGGCCTTGTGGAGCTAAGACTGAATGCGTTTCAGCATAGATGGCCACCACAAAATTGTACATTGGCTCCCGGCCGGCCTGGGCCAGGGCCAAGGCAGCGGGGGCCGTTCCCTCACTGTTTCCAGGATGGCTTCGCGGGCCACATGAAACCACTTCGCAGGCCGCATCCGGCCCCTGGGCCTTGTGTTTGACATGTCTGATCTAAAGCGTTCTCACATACTGTATTGTGGTTTGGTATGCTGGCTTGACAGCCGCGGTCAGGAAGGTATTACAGAGGGTGGTGAGCACGGCACAAAACATCGTGGGCTGTTCCCTGACACCACTGGATGACATCGCCAGGGCCCGTTGCCTTGGTAGAGTGAGGAAAATTCTCAGGGATGACTCTCACCCTGGTCGGTACCTCCTTACTCTCCTATCATTGGGTAGGAGATACAGAAACATAGCCAGCCGTACCAACAGGCTGAAGAACAGCTTTTATCCATGGGTTGTCAGGCTCTTGAATGGGACATAATAATTTCATGCATGCCAGACCCGTGAGGCCGGTGTGCTGTACTCACAGGGTGTAATAAGTTGGAGGTTTGTAGTCACTGTGAGTTGTGGGGTGGGGGGCACGGAGGGAGGCTCAGCCAATCTCACTGTATACATGTTATACTTTGATAATAAAGGTTCATTCATTAAAAGCTATAGCAGCATTGTAAAATGTTACGGCCTTTGCAGCATCCCCATGATCATGTGACCAAAATCCAGATGCTTGGCCACTGGCTCGACGGTTGCAGTGTCCTAGGGACATGGGATCCCCTTTTGCAATTTTCTGACAAAATGGGAAAGCCAGAACAACTACATTACAAACTTAACAACTGCAGTGATTTACTTAACAACTGCGGCAAGAAAAGTCGTAAAATGGAGAAAAACTCACTTAACAAATGTCTTGCTTAGGAATATAGATTTTGGGTTCAGTTGTGGTCGTAAGTCAAGGACTACCTGTATTCTGAGAACTTTTAGGGAGGAGCTGTCTTAACTCTCTTCCGTCCCTACCGAATTATCTAAACTTCGCTGTCTCTTGCTCCTCTGGAATGCAGCCCTTCCCTTCTGGGAATCCAGACCACATTCCACCACAGCTCAGAACCATTTGCACCTGATTCTAGCCAGGAAATATCGACAGAAAAGCTTCCTGACATATATTACTTACGTGGGACGCAGGAGCCAAATTTGTCAGGAAACTCAGATATCAAATCATCATTTATCCGATCTTTCATTGGGCCAAGGATAATAACCGGCCTGGTGTAATTAACTGAAATGCAGAAAGAAAAGATGATGGTGAAGGTAGCTTTGTAACAAGCACTGATGATGATGGGTTGATGTCTAATATTTAATTTTGAGAGATATCAATGGAATGCAATCAGCTTGGATTATGCACTTAGGTTTAATAAACAGAACGAAGGACAAATAATATTTCCTAAAAGAAAGCAGGGAATTTCATGAGATGCATGTTCTTCAGAAGGCTTGATGGAACGCTTCTACATTGAATTGTTCTCCAAAAGATGTAATGACCATTATTTTTTGCTATTAATCTGGGTTTTTCTGCTGGAAAACAAAGGCTAAATAGTGCAATCATGAAATCTAACAAGGTCCTTCTTACAATATAAAGGACATTGGGCAAATTAGTTTTTTTTAAAAAAAAAACCCTCCTCTTTCATTATGTTCTTTGAATGGGATGGAAGACACCAGCTATATATATTTTGTAGAACTTGTCTGAAACAAATACAAATAGATTTCACATCTTAAATCTGGGCTATGTAAAATACAACGAAGCAGAAAACCACATACTGAGGAATTGCATGCATACAGTCCAGATCATAAACTATATCATGTTTTCAAAAGTTGCAGTTGATTAGGCCTGATGTTACGTGGTTTAAATATTCATTAAAATGACTAAGAAAGTGGAATATTAAAAGTTGGCAACAAGACCTTTGTACCACTCCGTTACGAATGAAAGTATTTCTTTAGATGGCAGGATATTAAATCATTGCTAGGGTATCTCTGAATTGGAATTTGCAAGGATGGATTGCGCAGTTTTGCCTTTGGGTCCCACTTTCTGTTTTTCTCATGCATGGATTTTGGCCAAGACTAGATCTTTGCTTGCAGAAAGCAAGTAACAATTTAGGAGAAGCATCTGAGCAAAAACAAAGCAAGCTAGGACAACTCATTCGGCCATAAGAGACTTAACAAAGGAATTTTTAGGTAGCGAGGACATATATATATATATATAAAAGGTAGTCTCATCAACCACACTACAGCTCAGGATTTTGGCACCTTGTCTTGTTGTACAACAGGTGAGGAGAAGCACCTGAGCAAAACTGAAGTGAACTAGACCCACTCAATCTGAGTGGTCTGCCCTAATAGACTTAGTGAGGGAGTTTTTAAGTAGGAAGGACATAGTAAAAAAAAAAAGTAGTCTCTGTAATCTACAACAGCGATCCCCAACTTTTGCAGCTTGGCGGCCTGGTTGGGGGGAGGTGGAGAGGGGAACTGGGCCGCGCAAGCTCGACTAGTTTAGCTGTGTATGTGTGCGCTGGCCTGCCACGTGCGGCCCAGTTATGAGTAGGCCACAGCCAGTGGTGGGATACAAATATATGAACAATGGTTCTCTGTGTGGATGCCACTTCCAGAAGCTCGTTCTGGGCCTGGCCAACAAAAAAAAATAGCTACCGGTTCTGCCGAACTGGTGCAAACTGGCTGAATCCCACCACTGGCCACAGTCCAGTAGTGGGCCATAGCCCCAGGGGTTGGGGACCTCTGATCTGCAATGTAAAATAGTTGTCAACCCTACTAGCAGCCCAAGATTTTACTGTAAAAATGAGCTAGGTATAGTT